GCATCCAGAAAGACAGGAATCTTTCTAAGGCCTGGCCCTGGGAACTGGCTTGGTGTCACTCCTACTATATTCTGTTGGTCAAGGAGTCCATATTCAAAGAGAGGAAATAATGACCTCATCTCTGATTGGGAGAAGTATCAAAGAATTTGGGGAGCATTTAAAAAAATGGAAATAGGAAAGTTTGGAGTAGGCATTTTTGGAGAGAAGACGTTGTACAAGGCAGAAGTGCAGGAGGAGTCTGAAGAGCCTTATTTGTCATGTTCTTTCCTTATTTTCCAAACTCATTGAACCCCTTGCTGTTCCTTGTCTTTTTAGGTAGCTCCTTTTGTTGATAGCTTTTATGATGTCAGGCTTACATGCTCATTCACAGAAATCACATTGAATACTTAAGGCTGGCATATTTGCTTTTCTTTTTTAAATTCCATTCATCTCTTTTTATTTCTGTTTTGTAATTTTATTTATTTTTTTGTTGTAGGGTGTTTTCAATTTGTTACAAAGGACGGAGGTACAAACAAATATACAACATATAATTTCCCTTCATTGTAGAATTGCCTGATCTCCATCCATGCTTCTTTAAAAGGTTCAAGTCCCAGTTCAAATACAATTAACTTTATGAAGCTTAACTGATTTTATTCTTAGTTGGTGCTCCCAACGCACTTGGTGTGTGTTCTCAGTGTTCTCAACGACCTGGACCAACTGTTCCCAAATTTGTTTATGCAATATAATTAGCTCCAGGTCATTTTAAACAATGCACATTTCAGGGCACACCCAAAACCTAATAAAATATATCTCAAGCATACAGTGACCATCAATGGTTTGTTAATCAACTGATTGGCATTTGTATTTATGTCTTTAGACACATTAGATTCTCAAGTCCTCAGAGTCAGAGACCATGTTTTATTTCATATCCTCTCTAGTATTTAGCACAGTGCTTGCCACATGGCAGATGTTCAATACATTTTTAAGAGTTTGTCTCTCTCTCCTCTTGGGATTATTGATATCTAGAGACTTCCAAGGTGCTGTTCTTTTTCTCTTGGATTTCTACTGGGTGCCACTGGATACTGCTCTTGTTTTTCGAACTAGCCATCTGGAGCTTGAAGATCACAAACAATAGCAACAATAAACAGTCTGTGTAGATGGGATGCGTGCTTTCAAGTTAGTAAAATTATAAAATAGATTTGTATTTTGCTTGCATTTGTGTGAACTCTTACATAGTCAGAGGATCAAAGAGATTTCATGTTTTTTAAATGTTAAACGTAATATTTTTTAAGTATTCAAGGTGAGAGTGGTATATATTGAGAGAATAAATGAAATTTTGTGATTATGGGATAGGTGTTGCTTTGTTTTCTTTTAGTTTGTAGTAGAGTGGGAAAGGGAACAGAAAGGTCTTACACTCTTAAAAAGGCAACTTAAGCATCTAGTCCCCTGAGACTCTGCTCAATCGGCTTTGTAACTTAAAATTGTCTCTCACAGCAAGGGTTTACAAATGGATGGTATGGAATTGAACAGTTTTTTTTCCAGTTTCAATCCTGGCTAATCACTAAACAACTGGATTATGACTTCAATGCAGTGGTTTGAAATAGTTGATTTAACAGGGCAATCCTTGACTATCCTGCTAAGTATGTGCATTATATGTGGGAAGCAGCTATTTTCTCACTGCATACCTGCCTAATTTGGCTTACAATTGGAGCCACAGTCCTTTTTCTTTCTCCCTTAAGGCTTTGTTTGCAGCTCCTTTAAATGCCAGGCACTTGTACTAAAAATAGCTGTTCCATTTTCTTGCGACTCCTCCCAGGTTAGTCTGCCTGCTTCCCTTGCTTCCCAGGAGGCCACATCCACATTAAGGTTTTGTTAGCAAGTCTTTGTATTATTCTTCTCCCCTCCAACTACAGATGACCCACATCCCACTTCCTCTCCAGGGCTGCATGCCGTGTTCCTAAATAGTATCAGAGAAGAGTGGATGGCAGCGGCAGCTTTCAGCTGCAGTGGTAGGGACTCTGAGGGAGTGGGCATCAGAGTAAACATTTCAAGTGGAAAAGGTCACTGCTGAGGGAAGTAGACTCTTTTAATCTTTTTAAAAGGTTGAGGGACCTTGCTAGAGAGATGGGTGTGCAACACCAGATGAAAAGGAAGCCAAAACAATGCAAGGTTACCAGACAATGAGACAGGAAGAGGCTTGGAAGGAACCTGTGGTTCTGATTCTAAAATATATATACTTTTTAATATTGCAATATTGCAGATGTTAAGATGTATCTTACAATTGCTAGGTATATTTAAGTGGTAGTGTTTCTTCTCTCACCTCCATCTCCCACCCCCATGAAACAAAACCACAACCACAGTTGGTGAACGTGTGAATCTTGTAGTAAACGGTATCTAGATTTGAGGAAGCAATGTGTTCATCAAGGGTAAATGCACCCAAGTGCAGGGTTCGCCTCCAACCTAGTGAACTAAGAATCCTAATTTGCAAGCACACAGAAGCACATTTTCTAAGGAAAAGCACAATATTTAATTGGCTTACAAATACTGAAGTACAAATGTAGCTGTCCACTAAACATAACAGACACAAAGGAACATTTTTGTATGATCAAACAATCCCTCTCCTAAAGAAGGACTCTTACTTAGAAGTCTCAGTTTAATCAGACTGCCTGGGTAGTTTTCAGGAAGCTTGAAAAGTTTTTCTCCACAATAGGGATAACCTTGCGAATTGGCTTATAATATTCATTTGTCCTTGTGATTTTCTCTTTTTGTAATCTTCTTTTGTAGGCACCTCCCGTATCCCTTTCTAATGATTCTGTTTTTTTCTATTTGTTTCAGGTAGTATTTAAAAAAAAATTTTTTTAAGGAGAACTTAAAAACCTCTGGGTAGAATTACTCTATTCTTAGCTATTAATCTTCTTAAAGCACTCTCTCTTTAAAAAGGAATTTGGGGGCACCTGTGTGGCTCAGTCAGTTGAGCATCCAACTTTGGCTCAGGTCATGATCTCACAGTTAGTGGAGCTGAGCCCTGTATCGGGCTCTGTGCTGACAGCTCAGAGCCTGGAGCCTGCTTAGGATTCTGTGTCTCCCTCTCTTTCTGCCTCTCCCTGGCTCATGCTCTGATTCATTCTCATTTTCTCTCTCTCTCAAAAATAAACAAACATTAAAAAAAGTAATTTGAAAGCTGCAACAGATCTATAAATCTATATCTGTATCTATCTAGATCTATATACAGGAATATATTTTTACTTTATACTTAGAATTTATACAGGCTTGAGAGATACTCGGTCTCTTTATGGTATCCATTATATTACATTACTGATTCTCAATCTTGCCTTCAAATACTCTCCCCTCGCTCCCTCAGGTGAAGAATTATTTTTGTACATTAAATGACAGTGGCCATATAGATCATTTTATGCTCTGTTGACTTTACGTAAAGTTTATAATATTCACCGATGTTGCTGGATGTGTTTGCAGACTGTTAAATCTCATTGTTGTATAAAGCTCCATTATATGAATATACACTATCCATTCTATAGTTGGGGGGCATTTGGGTAGTTTCCAGTTTTTGCCTATTGTGAAACCTGTTAGAAACATTATAGTACATGCCTTTTGGAGATTACATGTACAATGCTGTTAGGTATATACCAAGGAGTGTATACCTGATAGGTTATAAAGTATGCCTGTATTCAGGCTAAGGGCTGCTAGAGTATTTTCTGTAAATGAACCTCAAACCACATGACTCACCTGTTGAACCCATCCATCACTCGGCTTTCTTCGATGGTGTTAATAAGTTGTACTTCACACTACAAAGCCTATAGGATTACCCTGTGTCTAATTCTCTAGCTTTATCTCATTACAGTCTCTCTCAATTCATCTATGTTTGCTCCCATTCATTTTTCTAGATGTAGGTTTTCTGCTTTTCTGTTTGAAATATTCTTATTATCTATGCTCCCTGCCTGCACACCTACAAATCCACACAGCACAGCTCCTAATAGGGAGCTCTTTCTCATTCTTCACATGTCACCTTCTTGGAGAAGCCTTCTCTGATCATGTTTATTTAAATCAGTACCTCCATTTTATCTCCATAAGTACCTCCACTTAATTTTCTTTAATTCTATCAAATTTCTTCTTAGTATTTATAACTTTGAAAGTACACACTAATTTTCCTTTCTTGTTCTAGTCTTTTAGCACTTAAAAAAATCCATATTTATGCCCCATTCCCAGATTTCCTGATGTAATTAGTTTGATGGTGATCCCAGTCTTGGTATTTTTTATTTTTTTTAATTCTTTTTGTCAAAATTCATTTTTATTAATAGAAAATAAACACTTATTCCTGTTTCAGTCGTTATACTTCAAGTTGCTAATAAAAAAAATTTAATCACTCAATCATCCTGTTTTGACTAAGACAATGAAGCTGTGCCAAAAAAAAAAACGTATTCAGCACCATTTGCTCATAGGCCTTTCAGAATTTGTTCTTAAAGTTTCTGGAACTTTCCTGTCTGTAAAGTACAGGAATTGTTGAGCTACAAGAGGAAGCTTCTGTAGGACAACCAACGAGAAGTTACGCAATTGTCATGAAAGCAGTCCATGTACATTCAGCACAGTACCTTGGACTGTACAATGATCCCCTCCCCTCCAGCTCAGGAGGGACATACTTCTAAGCACTGAGGTATGAAGAGTCAGACTGTTATTTGCTATTAGAATTAGCTAATAACAGTAACTCTCTGGCACAGATGCTACTGGTCCTTAACATCCTGTGATTTTAGGAAATTCTGTAAATAGTTCAGATTTAATTCAACTTATTCAGAAATGAAACCTATTGAATAAGGTTCACTATTCTGCCAGAGTATCTGCTGGTTTAGTATCTTTATAAAATACATATAATATGTGCAGGTAAATCATAGTCTTAAAGTATACTTAGAATACTGCATATTCAAACCCAAACCTAGGTCAACAAAATGCCTATAATTAAAACCAGCTGATGGAATGAAATCCAAAGTTATGACAAGGGAGACTCACTCTCTTACTAAGCTGTGTTGCTTAGAGAACTTACAAAAGCATGTGCCCTTACAGCCATTTGAGGACAGGTAAGGAGACACCCTCGCCTCATTCTTTACCATAGGATTCCAATCGAGGATGGGCCAGAAATTAGCATTTCTAAATATTTCACAAAAGTCCACAGAATTGCTAAGACGACTTTTAAAATGCTTGTCTTTCTGAGTCTGTGAGTAGTAATCTCCTCAGAATGTTCTAATAGCACAAAGACAAAGGCAAGTCTATACAGTTGCTCGGATGCTAGAAGAGTGGGAGGTGGACTGTTAGGGCCATCCTTAGCCAGAGCTTCTGTGGGCTTTTAACTGTATGCTGATCACAAGTGAGTCAGGTGGACTTTTGTGAGAGAATAGTGTTTGGTGGCCGGGACCTCTTTTGGGCATCTCTTCCTAAGTGGAATACACAACAGGTAAGGGAGTAGGGGAGGTAATACAGGGAAGCTACTCTTTCCAGCTCAGAAGGAGTTGATGAAGCCCATGTATGCATTCAAGAAGCCCTTGGGATCCTCTAGCTGTGGGTAGTGGCTAATGTGGTCATCCAGAATCGAGACTGTGGACCGCGGCAGCGTTTTCCTGTACAGCTCCAAAAACTCTGGAGAGGGGTTAACGGGATCCAGTGGCCCGTAGATAAAATGAATGGGAATAGTTACAGAAGCAAGAGCTCCCACCCAGCGCCTTCTAAACTTCTTCCTCTGGTTGATGTACTGTAAGAGACTGTCGATAACTAAGTTTCCATCACTGTTGTGGATCCCAGCTCACATGTCCCACAGCTCACTCTCAGAGGGGCGGGTGTATGGCCCAAAGACTGGGGTGAGACCTTGGGAGAATACAAAGAAGTTCATCAATCATGTGAGGATGGGTGACAGGACACCTCCATCTTTGAGAAGCTTTTGGAGAAGGAGAGGACGGTGAGTCTCAGGAAATATACCTCCATTTGACAGACAGAGACTCTTTATGGTAAGCTGACCAGATTGATTCTGCTTGAACCTATAGAGCAGCTCCTGAGCAACGATATCTCCATAATCATGAGACAAAAGGTTGATTCTGCGGTTCTGGAGCCCCAGGTGCCGCAAAAGAGCCTCCACAATGCTGGCCTGCTCGAATATGGAGTAGTGATGTGGTCTCGGTTTGTTACTGAAGCCAAAGCCCAAGAAATCAAGGGCAATCACTCGATGAAACCTTAGGGTCAGACCTTCCCAAATCTTGTACCAATCATAGCTGGATGTTGGAAAGCCACGCAAAACTATCTCAGGGCTTCCAACCACACCCACAGAGTCTTGGTAGAAGATGCGCAATCTCTTGTAGGTGAAAAATTTGCCTGACGACTTCCAGGAGTGCAGAGCAGGAGAGAGCTGGGGGGGTGGGGGGGGGTGGGATATGCAGGTAGGCCACAAGCAGGGGCACAGCCAGCAGACCCACCTGGACTCACCACTCCCTCATCCTGATTCAGGTAAGACCTGGGCTATAAGACTCCATGTTTGGGGGAAACAGTTACGCATCCAGTCTTGGTATTTTTTAAAAGCTTTCCATGCTGACCATTGTTTTATAGGGTATATGCTATGTAACATGCACGTTAATATAAATAAATATTGGAGGTATGATACAACAGTTTTTATCGGTGCATGTGTGCTATCCAAAATATTTGGAGGCCCCTGGACCAGCCCATACAACAAGTTAGGGAATTACGTTATAGAGAATCTCTGAATCAGTGGTATACAACTGGATACTGTCATATCTGGGACTATTCCAATGTCCAATTCCACTGCATTTCCATAGCAACGCACACTTTGGGTGTTGCATATTTTAATTATATGTGCATGTCTGTCACCCTCGCTGGATTCTAACAAGTGGGACTGTGTCCTTGTGCATTCTCCACAGTACCTTTTACAAATAACTCCTTGCTTATAGCAGATCGTCAATAAATGTTTTGAGAGAAAATGATATAACCATTTAGGTCATTTATAGGACACCTATATAATATGCTTCACTGAGCTGTTTTTAACATTTTATCCTCAAGCACTGACGTTTCATTATTTCAGAATCTTTTTTCTTTGCACAATAAAGAGCTGAATCAATTTTAAAGCCTTGAAGCCAAAGAGGTTTGAGAATCCTTGAAAGTTCATTACCTTTTCTGGAGTATTAAATTTCAGTAAAAGCAGAGATTATTTTGGTCTATGACTGGACATATTATCAGTCAGTGTCATAATACAAAGAGTGCTCTCAATCACGAAGAATTTCTGGTTATTTCAATAACCACGTTACTATGGATTTAAAGGCATCTTAACTCAAATCTAAATGAACAAAATCATTGTATAGTGAAGTCATTTCTGACGATTTGTATTTTATAAAAAAAAGACCAATAAATTCAAATACCCAAAATTCTGTCTTAAATTAATGAGGTAGTTCTGCCTGTAGGAATTTTTGATCTGGGCTCTTTCCAAAGGGTAAAAATATAATGGTCAACAAAATCCAAAGAATTTTGTGGCTGAGAATATACAGGGAGCTACCTTCTCTAATATGGTGTTGCCATTATATTTCTCAGTGGTAAATATTTATCTGTCAAGATTAAGCTCTCAGAAAACAAAGGGCGGGGAAAAGAACTAAAAGAGCAGTTTTAAGAGTTTTAAAAAATTCATAATAGAATAAGAAGTGGTCAACATGGCGGAGAAGTAGAGGAATCCGAAGTTCTCTCATCTCTCAAACAAAGCAGTGATGGAGCTAAAGGACTTTGAACTCCAAGAGACCAGGAGACAAAGAGACAGTCACTTCTAGGAACCACTGGAAAAGCCTGACAGGCCATAGGTATGTGATAGCAAACAGAGAAAGAGAAAACGAATGGAGGAGAGGGATTCCCTTTTGCAGAGAGACAAAGGGAAGAGAAAGAGAGATGAGGGAAGCATAGGATTGTATCTGGACAAGAGAAAAACCATGGACTGGGATGGAGAAAGATCCAGTCTCTAACTGAGAGGGTTGGCTGCCCAGATCACACACCTGCCCAGCCCTGGGGCACAGTCCACAGTAGAAGAATGCTATCCCCTCCCTGGATTGCCATGGGACAGGACAAAGCGTTTCTGCCTCCGCTGGCCAGGGACAGTGAAAGGCACTCTCCCAATACTGGGGTGCACAGAGCAGTAGTTTGAATTCCAGCCAAGCTCAAGGGCATGGGAGTCGGTGGAGCAGGACAAATCACCTCGTCTGCACCCGTGGCACAGTGAGGATGGCTTTAACAGAATAGTTTGGGACACATGATCCATGGAAGAGAGACTGGGGTGTCGCCATTTTTCTCCCTACCACCACAAAGGTGGGGCTTCAGGTATTGGACAGTGGGGCCACAATAGAGGTGGGACCCATCTACACCAACCCTTTCCCCTCTGTACCTGGTAACTGGGTATCTACTGGAGTGGGACTGACGCTGACAAATCAGAGAGCCTCTCCTCCAGACTGGATTGCATTGCCTGGTTTAATTCTTAGACAATTCTTATGATATAGATATATTCTTCCCTCCTTTTCTCCTTCATATCTCTTCGCTCCTCTAGTCTGGTTATTCTGGTTGTTGGTTTGTTTAAGCAGACATATTTAATCCATTCTCTTGATACATGTTCCACGCCTCCTTCTTTATTCTCCTTCTTTGTCTCTCTGGATTAAGCTGTATAGTTGCTCTGTTTGGACAACATTATTTTCTTTTTCCCCACCTCCTTCTTTATTTTCCTTTCTCTCTCTCTCTGGATTAAGCTGTATCTGTCTGGTCAATTTTTATTTTTTATTTTCCCCAGCCCCTGTCATTTCTCTCTTTGTATGGGATAAAGCCTCTTCCATCAGCACCACCTCCACCCTATTATTTACTTGAAGCTGGTGTTTCTGTTTTTTGTTGTGGGGTTTTTGTGTGTTTTTGTTTTCTGTTTATTTTTTGTTTGTTTGTTTTCCTTTCCAGGGCTACTTTAAGGAACAAATAAAAGCATACCTAGTGGGAGATAAAGTAACCAAAGTCACAACAGAGAACAAGTAACACTTTCTAAAAAAACATCTCCTGAAGGGGCAGGCCCTGGACAGTGCATGACCCTTCTTTAATATAGTAGTGCTCACAGGTGCAGGGCATATAATAAACTTTTAAAACACATCAGGGACAGAAAACTAGCCCAAGTGACAAAATAGAAGAATTCTCCTCAAAAGAAATTCCAGGAAGAAATGACAGCTAAAGAATTGCTCACAACAGATATTAACGATATAACTGAACAAGAATTTAGAATAATAGTTATAAGATTAATCGCTGGACTTGAAAAAAGCATAGAAGATAGCAGAGAATCTATTGCTTTAGAGATCAAGGAACTAAAAAACAGTCATGATGAATTAAAAAATTCTGTAAATGAGGTGCAAAATAAACTAGAGGTGGTGACAGCCAAAATTGAAGAGGCAGAGGGGAGCATAGGTGAAATAGAAGATCATGAAAAAAGATAAAGCTGAGAAAAAGAGATTAAAAAAATTCTGGATCACTAGGGGAGAAGTAGAGAACTAAGTGATTCAATGAAATGGAACAATGTCCATATCATAGGAGTTCCTGAAGAAGGAGAGAGAGAAAGGAGCCGAAGTTGTGCTTGAACAAATCTTTACTGAGAACTTCCCCAATCTGGGGGCAGAAACAGACCATGAAATCCAGGAGGCATAGAGAACTCCCTTCAGACATAACTTGAATCGATCTTCTGCATGACATATCATAGTGAAACTGGAGAAACACAAAGATAGAGAGAATTCTGAAAGCAGCTAGGGATAAATGGGCCTTAAAATACAAAGGTAGACACATAAGGGTAGTAGCAGATCTATCTACTGAAACTTGGCAGGTCAAAAAGGAGTGGCAGGAAATTTTCAATGTGATAAGTAGGAAAACATATGCAGCCAAGAATCCTCTATCCAGCAAGCCTGTCATTTAGAATAGAAGGAGAGATAAAGACTTCCTAGAAAAACAAAAATGAAAGGAATTCATCACCACTAAACTAGTCCCACAAGAGATCCTAAGGGGGTACTCTGTGAGTGTTGCAAAGACCACAAAGGACCAGAGACATCACTACAAGAATGAAACCTACAGATAACACAATGACTCTAAACCCATATTTTTCAATAACACTGAATGTAAATGGACTAAATGCTCCAGTCAAAAGACATAGCATATCAGAATAGATAAAAAAACAAGACTCATCTATTTGCTGTCTACAAGAGACCCATTTTAGACCTGAGGACACCTTCAGATTGAAAGTGAGGGAATGGAGAACCAGCTCTCATGCTACTGGAAGTCAAAAGAAAGCTAGAGTAGCCATACTTATATCAAACAAACTAGATTTCAAACTAAAGACTGTAGCAAGAGATGAAGAAGGGCATTATATAACAATTATAGGGTCTATCCATCAAGAAGAGCTAACAATTATATTTATCCACTAAAGACGATAGCACCCAAATATATAAAACAATCACAAACATAAGCAACCTTATTGGTAAGAATGTGGTAATTACAGGGGACTTTAATACTCCATTACAGCAATGGAAAGATCATCTAGACAGAAAAATCAATAAAGAAACAATGGTCCCGCATGATACACCAAGCCAGAGGGACTTGACAGATATATTTAGAACTTTTCATTCTACATCATCAGAATATACATTCTTCTCAAGTTCACATGGAACATTCTTCAGGCTATATCACATACTGGGTCACAGAACAGCCCTCAATAAATATAAAATTAAAAATAAATATAAAGCAGCCTTCATACCATGCACACTTTCAGATCACAATGCTATGAAACTTGAAATGAACCACAGGAAAAAGTCTGGAAAATCTCCAAATGCATGGAGATTAAAGAACATCCTTCTAAAGAATGAATGGGTCAACCAGGCAATTAAAGAAGAAATTTTAAAATATATGGAAACAAATGAAAATGAAAATACAACAGTACAAACCCTTTGGGATGCAACAAAGGCAGTCCTAAGAGAAAAATACATTGCAATCTAGGCCTATCTCAAGAAATAAGAAAAATCCACAATACAAAATCTAACAGCCCACCTAAAGGAACTAGAAGCAGAACAACAAGGAAACCTCAAACCCAGCAGAAGAGAAATAATATAGAATAAAAAAAAAACAGTAGAAGAGATCAATGAAACCAAGAGTTGGTTTTTTGAAAAAAAAAAACAAAAAAACAAACAACAAAAAAACAAAATTGATAAACCCCTAGCCAGACTTCTCAAAAACAAAAGAGACCTAAATAGATAAAATCACAAGTAAAAATGGATTTATCACAACCAGTTTCTCACAAATACAAGCAATTATCAGAGAATATTATGAAAAACTATGTGCCAACAAACAGGACAACATGGAAGAAACGGACAAATTCCTAGACACCCTTACACTACCAAAACTCAAATGGGAAGAAATAGAAAATTTGAATAGACCCATAACTAGTGAAGCAATTGAATCAGTTTTCCAAAATCTCCCAACAAATGAGAGTCCTGAACCAGATGTCTTCCCTGGGGAATTCTACCAGACATTTAAAGAAGAGGTAGTACTTATCCTTCTCAAGCTGTTCCAAAAAAAAAAAAAAAAAAATAGAAATGGAAGGAAAACTTCTGGACTCATTCTATAAAGCCAGAATTACCTTGATACCACAAAAAAGGAGAACTACAGGCCAATATCCTTGATGAATGTGGATGCAAAAATTCTTAACAAGATATTAGCAAATTGAATTCAACAGCATATAAAAAGAATTATTCACCATGATGAAGTGGGATTCATTCCTGGGCTGAAGGGCTGGTTCAATATTCACAGATCAATCAAAGTGATACATCACATTAATAAAAGAAAGGATAAGAACTATATGATCCTGTAAATAGATGCAGAAAAGGCATTTGACAAAATACAACATCCTTTTTTAATAAAAACCCTCAAGAAAGTCTGGATACAAGGAACGTACTTAAACATCATAAAAGCCATATATAAAAAACCCACAGCTAATATCATCCTCAATGGGGAAAAACAGAGCTTTCCCTCTGAGATCAGGAACATGACAGGGATGTCCACTCTCACCACTGTTGTTTAACATAGTGTTGGAAGTCCTAGCATCAGCTATCATACAACAAAATGAAATTAAATTCATCATAATTGGCAAATAAGAAGTCAAACTTTCACTTTTCACAGATGACATGATACTCTACATGGAAAACCTGAAAGACTCCACCAAAAGATTGCTAGACCTGATCCATGAATTCAGCAAAGTTGCAGGGTACAAAATCAATGTACAGAAATCGGTTGCATTTTTATACACCAACAGTGAAGCAACAGAAAGAGAAATCAAGAAACTGATCCCATTTACAGTTGCATCAAGAACCATAAAATACCTAGGAATAAGCCTAACCAAAGATATAGGAGATCTGTATGATGAAAACTATAGAAAACTTATGAAGGATATTGAAGAAGACACAAAGAAATGGAACAACATTCCATGCTCACGGGTCGGAAGAATAAATATTGTTAAAATGTCATTACCACCCAAAGCAATATACACATTCAATGCAATCCCAATCAAAATCGCACCAGCATTCTTCTCAAAACTAGAACAAACTATCCTAAAATTTGTATGGAACCACAAAAGACCCCGAATAGCCAAAGTAATGTTGAAGAAAACCAAAATGGGAGACATCACCATCCCAGACTTTAGCCTCTATTACAAAGCTGTTATCATCAAGACAGTATGTTATTGGCACATAAACATACACATATACCAATGGAATAGAATAGAGAACTCATAATTGGACCCACAAATGTATGGCCAACTAATCTTTGACAAAGCGGGGAAGAACATCCAATGGAAAAAAGACAGCCTCTTTAACAGAGGGAGAACTGGACAGCAACATGCAGAAGAATGAAACTAGATCATTTTCTCACACCATGCACAAAAATAAACTCAAAGTGGATAAAGGACCTGAACGTGAGACAGGAAACCATCAAAACCCTAGAGGAGAAACAGGCAACAACCTCTTTGACTTCAGCCACAGGAATTTCTTACTCAACACATCTCCAAAGGCAAGGGGATTAAAAGCAAAAATGAACCTCATCAAGATAAAAAGCTTCTACACTGCATAGGAAACAATCAACAAAACTAAAAGGCAACTGACAGGATGGGAAAAGATATTTGCAAATGACATATCGGATAAAAGGCTAGTATCCAAAATTTATGAAGAACTTGCCAAACTCAACACCCGAAAAACAAAAATCCAGTGAAGAAATGGGCAGAAGACAT